GGGCCGCGTTAAGAGAGGCGGCGGGGCCGCGTCAAGGGAGGCGGCTGGGCCGCGTCAGGGGAGGCGGCAAAGCCGCGTCAGGGGAGGCGGCGGGCCGCGAGTGAAAAGGCGACCCGAGGGGTCGCTAAAAAAAATGGGCGCGCCTCGGGGCGCGCGTTGGTGGGCCCAGAAAACGGTCCTAAGGCAGGATCCGCTCTATACCATGTGAAATAAGAAAACAGGAATGATGACTATGAAAATGAAATCAGTACAAGTAGCAAACCCTAACTGGGTTGTACCCCCTATAGGATACCCCACTACAGCCTACACAACAGTATGAACTGTATATATGTTCTGACATATATACCTGTTCCTGCTTGTCTAGTTTTATATATATGCCTGTACTCCTGCATGTGAACTGGCCTCTGGCCCTGCTCTTGTGCTCGGACTGTGTGGTGACTTTGTGATCCACCCTGAGCTTGCTTTGCTTTGCTTGACTGGTCTTGTGACCCCTTGTTCTCCCCCACTTTGCCTATGGGGGTGTGTCAGATTATTATAGCCGATGCATGTTTGTAGGCTATAGTGGGGTAGCACATATGGGATACAGCTTCCTAGGGTTGTATTTGTACCCAACTCTGACTTAGTCATTTCATTCCTGTTCACTTATTTCACACACGTGAGAGCCGTGCCAAGTCCAAGCGCACGTCATCTTCATTTGGGAACATCAAGACACCCTGGTCCCCGCGTACTGCTAACGGCTGAAGGGGCACCTCAATCTCCTCCATGAATAGTTGCACAATCAGCTCCCCATCCGCGAGACTGCATACATCGCCGCGTAGGCCTCGTCTGAAGTCTTTTGCCGCGACGCCGTCGCAGGACACCCACTTGCGCACCATGGTGAAATCCGACCTCACCAGCGCTTTCAGGTACATGCATACGAAAAAACCACAGTCCTTGTCGTTCGTCTGCTATGGAATCACTTCTTCTCTAAGGATGACAAGGTGCGTAAAGGGCATCAGAACACTCTCCCAACAACACTCCAACCACCTTAAACGACACTCTCCAACACCACGGTCATACAAACTGAACAATACTCACTCAAATTACTACGTGCACCGCTTCTCGCACTTTTTCTGCAGCCTTAACTGGGTTGTCGGATGGCAGCTGGGACTCGTGGATCATCAGAAGCGTCCTGTGTCAATCACACGCAACTGTGAGTCGACGTTCCCTAAGAAAAGAGCGAACGACATGAAGAATTAAAGAGCCACAAACTTACCTCCTCACACCCTCTATCACAGAAGGGTCCCTAGTGTGCATGCCATCGCTGTCATAGTGCACAAGGCGTACACCTTCCGTTGCCCCCTCTCCCCGTTTCCCGGACGACATGTTGCAAAGATTAAGAGCTATGACCAATGAGAAGTCTCTCCTGCCCAGCCAGGGAATGTTGGTGGAATAACGAAAGCAAAGTCGTCTGTTTTGTGGCTATATGTCAACGATGTACTTGCGCGAACACAATAAACCCACCTTGCAATGATTGGAATGGCCACGTAATCCAGGTCTAAGATACACGATGATCCTCCCAGTGGCCATGTCTTGTTCAGTTGCGTTGCGTATACGAATGCTTTCGTGTCGAGCGGGAACCATGTCTTTCCATCTTTCAGTTTAGGGTGTCGGATGTTGAGAAGTCTGCACGCACTGCCACAACACCTAAGAACCGAGTTTAGTGACTGCGCACGATGCTAACTCGACATCCCTAAGTCAGCATGTATGAGCTTACATGTGACGAGAAGTGAGAATGGATGAATGAACTATGAAAGAGTTGGGTACAAGTACTAACCCTAATTGGTTTGTACCCCATATGGGCTACCCCACTACAGCCTACACAAATTTATAAGCAATCATGTTCAGACACACCCCCATAGGCAAAGTGGGGGAGAACAAGCAGTCACAAGACCAGTCAAGCAAACCAAAGCAAAGCAAAGCAAGCTCAGGGTGTATCAATAAGTCACCACACAGTCCGAGCACAAGAGTAGGGCCACAAGGCTAATTCACATGCAAGAGCATATATATAAAGGTAAAACAAGCAAGGGCAGGTATAGAAAGAATACCGTACAAACAAGATCAAGAAGTGAGCAAGTGAGGCCAGGTAGGCACAAGACCTAGCACAGTTTAGAAACGCTAAAGATCACAACGCGGAAGGGACTTGGTGAAGATATCAGTAGTGTTGGCCTCAGAGGCCACGTAGGTGAGGCGGAGCTAACCACACTGCTGTAGCTCACGAGACAGGAAGTAGCGGAGAGCAATGTGCTTCGTTCTTTGCTCCGATCTCTGCTCCTGACACAAGGCCAGCATGGCCTTGTTGTCTACGTACAGAACTGGAGGAGAACGAGGCGGCTCTCCTAGGTCAGTCAGAAGGTAGGTGAGCTAGCGTAGCTCCTGTGCAGCCATGGCCCCTGCGTAGATCTCAGCCTCACAGCTGGAACCGAGAACAGAGGACGAGCGGATACACCGCCACGAAACAGAGCCAGAGCCAAGGCTGAAGGTGTAACCCTGTGACGACCGCTGCGTAGCCTGGTCGTCAACCCAAGAAGCGTGTGCGTGACCTGTAAGGACTACTCGACGTCGCCCTCCAAGCACTAGCCCTATGCCCGACGTACTGCACACGTAGCGCAACACCCTCTTCGCTGCAGCCATGTGCTCTGGTTTGTGTCTCCCAGGAGCAACATAGCATGCCAAGATGCTAAGAGGGTATGCAAGGTCAGGTCGTGTGCAGGTCATCAGGTACATGAGGCAGCCAACAAGCTCTGGGTACGGGCCACTCGACTCTACGGACTCATCCGAAGGCAGAGCTGAGAGCGAGTGGCGAGTAGACAGAGGAGTGGCCTGAGGCGATGAGTACGTGAAGCCGAAGCGCTGAAGGACCTGCTGCACCATGTGTGACTGAGTCAGGGTAATGGTGCGCTGTGCTCTGTCCCGAGTGATCTGCAAGCCAAGGTAGCTGCGCAGTTCACCCAGGTCTGTGCACGTGTGTCTCTTCTGCAGCTCGGACTTCACGTGGGCGAGTCTAGCAGTGTCAGCAGTGGCAAAGACCAAGTCGTCAACGTTCACGAGGATGTAGAACGGTGGTAAAGAGGTGTCGGTGTGTAGAAACAGCGACGGGTCAGCGGTAGAAGGAGCAAACCCAAGAGCCGCAAGTGTAGTCCTCAGTGTGTCGTGCCACTCACGGGGCGCCTGGCAGAGAGCGTAGACTGGCCGTCGGAGGCTCCACTGGGTACCAGGAGGAAACGACCTTGTGAAGCCAGGAGGGCGGCGCAGCCAGATCTCCTCGTGCAGGCTGCCCTTAAGGAAAGCTGTGCTGAAGTCAAGAGAGTGAAGCTCGTAGTCGCGCTGAGCGGCTATGTGCAGCAGCACCCGAAGAGTGGTCATCTTCGGGGTGGGAGAGAAGGTCTGAAAGTAGTCAACTCCCTGCCGCTGACTGAAGCCTCGAGCCACGTAACGCGCCTTGAAGACAGGCGGAGAGCCAGGCGGCCGCTTCACCCTGAAGATCCACATCCCACTGTCGATGTTCGCCCCAGGTGGGGGAACCTCGTCGACGTAGGTGCCTGTGGACTTCCAGGAAGCCATCTCTGCGTCCATGGCCGACTGCCACTAAGAGGAGTAGGGACCCTCGATCGCCTCAGCGTATGATCGAGGAGTCGGGATGTCTGGTGCATCCGGGTCTTCCTCAGGGGCAATCAGCGTGGACACGAGATGGGGCAAAGCAGCAGCAAAGCACTGGAACTCCTCGTGCCTGCCCTCAAGGACGTCCGTGCTAAGAGCACACTCACCCCCGACGGACGGAGGACAGACGGACTCAGACTCAGCAACAAGACTGGCAGCGTAGTCTAGACGACAGTGAGCAGCGAAGTCGACAAGCTCAGCAACTAGGGCAGACGCAGCACTGGACTCAAAGGAAGGGTCAGTGTCAACAGTAGCAAGAAGGCGCGTGACCAAAGGACTAGCAGCACGAAGGGAGTCAGACTCCGGGTCAGATAGACAAGGAAGAGAGGACTCTGGAGGAGACGGCAAAGGGACACGCAGAGGAGCAGTGGACGGACGCAATGCCATCTGGTGTATGCCGGGGTCTGCTGGAGGACGCGGACGCGCAGTACGACCACTAGTGCGAGCAGCACGAACAGGCGATGCAGGACGAGACGCAGGCTCATGACGCTGAGCAAGACCTCCAGTAGGACCAGTGTAGGGAGAAGGAGCAGGTAGCGGGGAGGCGGGCTGTAACTGTGACTTCGACTGGACAGGCTGTGAACACTCTAAGGGAGGAGCAAGACCAGTAGAGGGAGGGAGACCAAGAACCTGCTCCAGGAGCGGAACGAAGTACGGCCTAAGCCGCTCAGCGCCTCCAGAACCAGCAGGGACGGCACTAGTACCCCCAGTGGCAGCACCAGCGCCAGCAGAACCTCCAGCTCCTTCATCACCAACTCCAGTACCCTCAGAAGCACCAGCGCTAGCAGTACTGCCAGCGCCAACACCCCCAGCAGCTCCAGCTCCAGCAGCACCAACTCCAGTAGGACCGTCAGCACCAGCGGCCTCAGCAGCACCCCCAGACACACCAGCACCAATAAAAACACCATCACCAACATCCCCAGCAGCTCCACCTCCATCAACACCAGCACCGACAGCAGCTGCAGTAGCACCCCCAGACTCAGCAGCACGTCTCCAGCGGCGGGCGAACCACTCGCGCAACTCCTGTGGAGAGAGCGGCTCCCGCCTCGACGAAGCACCGCCGGCGGCCACACGAGAAGACCCAGCACCCCCAGGCTCCGCACCCCCCGGCTCAGCACCCACAGTAGTACCACCCGAAAGCCCAGCACCCCTAGGCTCCGCACCCCCAGGCTCAGCACCCCTAGTCTCAGCACCCCCAGACTCAGCAACCCCAGACCTGGCACCCGCAGACCCGGCACCCGCAGGCTCAGCACCTCTAGCAGCACCAGAGTCAACAGCTACCTCGACGGGCTCGACTGCGTCTACCTGGGACACACCTGAGGGGCAGGACCCTGAGGGGGGAGGGGGTCGACTCGGGAAGCACTTGGCGCAAGGAAGAGCGGCGGCGGGGGGAGGGGTGCAGTGCCGTAGGGGAAGAGACGGTAGTTAGGCACCAACTTGTCAAAAGTGACGTCCTGGAGGATAGAACATGGCGTGTGGTGGGGTGGTAAAACCGCCAGCCAGGCGCATCAGGGGGGAAGCCAAGGAAGACGCAAGGAACATCACGGGGGGACAGCTTGTCCGCAGACAAGTCGCGGACAAACGCCCGAGATCCCCAGACCTGAAACGCAGACGCATCGCCAACCTTCCCTGTCCACAGCAAGGCGGGGGAGGTTTCTAGCAAGGAGACCCGGGGCTGAAGGTTGAGCTGATGCGCGGCGTACTGAACCGCAAACGGCCACAGAAAATGGGGGGCAGCTGCATGCATCATAGACGTAAAGTACGAGCGACGTCCATGACCATGCCAATGCGGCGCTCAGCAATCCCATTTTGCTGTGGAGAGGCCGGAAGCGTGAAGGTCTGGCGGATACCCTGTGCACGACAGAAGGCTCCCAGACGGGCAGAGGAAAACTCCTCGCCTCTATCCGAGTGCAAACGCAGAACAGGAAAGTGCGAGCCGAAACTCTCTATGAGCAGGAGACGAGCTGCTCGGATCCAGTCGATCAACACCTCAGTGACGTCACCCTTGCTGTGCAAGGGGAAGACTGTGGTGTAACGCGAGTAGTTGTCAACGATCAGCAAAAAGTACTTCTCTCGCCCGTGCCCACTGACCCGGGCTGGGCCCCACACGTCCATGTGGAGGGTCTGCAGCGGAGCCTCTGTCAGAGGAAACTCGGAGGAGTGAGGGGCGGGGCGCTGTCGCCCCTCGACGCAGGGGACGCAGGTAGGGCCAGGCCCAGGAGGAAGGGGAGGGTCAACCCCTCGATCTTGTAGGTCCGCTCCACTCACCAAGTTCGTAGAGAACGAGGGGAGGTAGAGACCAGACAGGGTGCCAGAGAGGGCTGCAGGGCACGGAAGGACAGTGGAGAAGCTAGCAAGGACAGGAACCCCAGAGGGGTCTTCCAGGGAGACTGCAACTGGCCGACTAAGCGGCGTTAGAGTGGTGCGGTCTCGAAAGAAGGAGCGGGACGCACCCGAGTCCAGGGCGAAGGTGTGGAAGGCCTGAGCCGAAGCAGTACCTGAGAGAGTAGACTCACCAGCACCTGGGGCGGCAGACGCACTGGCACCTGGGGCAGTAGACGCACTAGCACCTAGAGCAGCAGCCTGACCAGCACCTAGCGCATCAGCCTCAATGCCCGGGTCATGCGGTACACATAGGTAACAGGCACCCTCAACACTATCAGCAACAGCATACATGGCAGCAAGAATAGTATCAAAGTCAAGATCAAAGATAGCAACCCCGGCCTTTGCCAGATCTCCCCAGCGAGGGATCTCTGACGCCTTAGGGAACTGGCGACGCCACGCGTCCGTCAGGCGACCAAAGCAGCGCTGGGTGGAGTGCGGACCTCCGCACTGCTCACCAGTGCGGTCGCCGGTACAGAGAACGTAGGAGCAGGGACCAAAACCCCCACCGCGCTAGCGTGCAGTGTACCACTCACGAAGCTGCTGAGGGGACATGGTCACACCACTTCGCTGCTGCTGCTGACGCTGACCACCACCGGAGCCACTCCTCGGCGCAGAGTCGCGACTCGCTCCACCACCGCCGCCGCAGCCTCCGCCGCCGCCTCCGCCGACACCTCCACATCCGCCTCCTCCATTACCTCCGCCGCCTCCGCTCCCTTTACCACCTCCACCGCCTCCGCCGCCTCCACTGCTGCCGCCGCCGCCACCACCCCCGGCACCACTCCCACCACCACCCCCACTCCCTCCACCGCCTCCACCACCACCTCCACCACCCCCTCCACCCCCTCCAGTGCCCTTGCCCCCCTTGCCCTTGCATGTGCGGCGTCTCCCACTCGGGGCAGACGCAGCGCCGACCGACTCGAAACCAACGAGGTCGGCCGCAGCAGCAGAGGCATCAGAGGGCAAGAGGGGGGAGGGAGAACACCCCTCAAAGACGGGGGTGCGAGGGTCACCACGAGAGGCTCCTACAGCGACTATGCTCTTCTCTATCGCTATGAGGGCCTTCTCGAGGAGGTCAACGGTGAGAGCGGTGGGGCAAACAGAGAGGAAGTGGTCCCTGACTACGCGAAGAGAGTCAGGGAGCCGGGTGACTATGTAGTAGAGGGTGATGTACATGGGGGGGGGGTTCTTGGCGCAGAACTTTGCAGGAAGCGCAGCGCGGTAGCCAGTGTCAAGAGTGCGGAGGTGTGTAATGAGGTCAGCGACAATGGGAAAGGCAGCAAGGTCAAGGAAGAGGAACGGTAGCATGAGGCGGCTTAGTGCAGCAGTGGCAGGGGAAGAGTAGCGTGCAACTACAGCGTCGTACTTTTTCTTAACACTCTTGTACTGGCTAAAGTGTGCACGCTCAGTGGTCGGTTAGTGGCGGTGAACAGCAAGGCGAGCAGCAGCATCACGTGTGGCCCACTGTGAGCAAACAGTGGCGTCAGCATCAGCAGCAGGGGCAGGGGAGGCACCAGAAGTGAGGTCAAACAGGGAGAGGCCGTCTGCCCTATCGCACTGCAGAAAAAGGTGCAGATCATCTACCCAGACCTCAAAGTCCACTGCCCGACCCTCAGCGTCAAAAGTGAGAACGCTAGGGGAAGCCATAGCAGCAGTAGGCAGGCAGTGACGGCAGTTAGGCAGGGTAGTGCAGTGGCAGAGACTGGGCTCTTACCAGGCAGGTGGGGCGATCGGGCTGCTCGGCGGCTCGGCTGCACGGTGCTGGGCGGCTCGGCTGTCGGGCGGCTCGGCTGCAGGGCGGCTTGACTGCTGGGCGGCTCGGCTGCACGGTGCTGGGCGGCTCGGCTACTGGGCGACTCGGGTGTCGGGCGGCTCGGCTGCTGGGCGGCTTGGCTGCCTGGCGGCTCGGTTGCTGGGCGGCTCGGGCGGTCGGGCTGCTCAGCTGCTCGGCGCTGCGTGCGCTGGGCGGCGGGGTCGCAGATGGCAGCTGGCCGCAAGGGTGGGCGAGGCCGCGGTGGCGACGGGACGGGGCCGTAGCAGGGGCCTAAGAGGGGCCGTAGTGGGGCCGACCGGGCCGTAGCGGGGCCGACACGGGGCCTAAGTGGGGCCAACGGGGCCAAAGCGAGGCCTGAGTGAGGCCTTAGCGGGGCCGACGGGGCCTAAGCGGGGCCGACGGGGCCGTAGCGGGGCCGTAGCGGGGCCGTAGCGGGGCCGTAGCGGGGCCGAAGCGGGGCCGACGGGGCCTAAGTGGGGCCGTAGTGGGGCCAACTGGGCCTAAGCGGGGCCGACGGGGCCGTAGCGGGGCCGTAGCGGGGCCTAAGCGGGGCCGACGGGGCCGTAGCGGGGCTTTAGCGGGACCTAAGTGGGGCCGACGGGGCCTAAGCGGGGCCGACGTGGCCTAAGTGGGGCCGTAGCGGTGGCCGTAGCGAGGCCTAAGTGGGGCTGACGGGGCTGTAGCGGGGCCAACGGGGCCTAAGCGGGGCCGTAGTGGGGCCGTAGCGGGGCCAACGGGGCCTAAGCGGGGCCGACGGGGCCGTAGCGGGCGGCTCGAGGGGCAGTAAGGGCGGCCAAAAAGGGGGGCCACTAAGGCGTCTCGGGGCGCTACTCGGGTTAGGAGGTAAGCGCGCTCCGGGCAGAGAAGGAAAAAATACGTGGTGGGCCCTAGGCAGTATTCCCACTCGGGAACCTGCTCGATACCATGACGAGAAGTGAGAATGGATGAATGAACTATGAAAGAGTTGGGTACAAGTACTAACCCTAATTGGGTTGTACCCCATATGGGCTACCCCACTACAGCCTACACAAATGTATAAGCTATAATGTTCTGACAACATGTTGTGAAAATCCACTAGGCTGTCGGCGAGATTCTTCCCGTCGGCGAGATTCTTCCTGTCGGCAGCTGTAAGAGCATCCTTAGCGGTGATCTGACATCCAACCCTGTGTGGGCCGAAGAGCGTGAGAGTTCGGAAGTCACGACGCACGGCCGGATCTTGCAGCCTCTTGATCAGGTTGTCTGGCTGGTCGTCTACGGGCGGTCCACTGCCTCCAAAGTTCCACCCCGATGCCGATGACTTGGACACGTGCTTACTGGCTGCAACCTTCTGCGTGTCTTCTTCATGCTCCTTCGTGTTGGTTCCAAGTGGCCGAGTTAGCATTCGCGTCAGTAGGTCATACACGTGAGAACCGCGGGGCGGAGACCCGTCGTTAGCCTCCCTTTTCACTCCCCTTCCACGAGCTTTCATAGCGGAGTACAAGAACGATTGGACAGAGAGTTGATGTTCAGAACACAACGCTTCTAGACAGGCAGTAGGATAAGAGTCTTGTCTAGCTGCTCGGTCCGTTATACGGACACATTCAACCTGTACTACGTAAATAGTTGTGAGGGCAAGAAGAGGAAGAGCTAAGCGCACCAAATTCGGACACTCGGCGACATCACATGATGTTTCCACGTGTACAGCGCTAGAGAAAGCGCGCCAAAATTGATGGTTCTGGATCCGAGCCTGACGGTTGGGTTTTGTATTTTCCAATTACCATAACTAAACACTCTTATAATGCTTTATGCGAAAATGGAGCATACACTTTTGCAACGTGTACATTTCAAATCACATTGAAGTAGTCGCAAATTGAGACTCGCCAATCAACGCTTTCGCAATTGCCGTGCTGTCCATCGTCACATCACTTCTGATCGGACATGCAAACCGGAGTAGTTGGAACATGGCTGCCGGGTACTGTACTTTTTAAAGCGGGATTCGATAATAACTTTCACTTTATATGTTGACAACGATATACCCACTTCCAACCATATAGCGTTCAATCCACCCAGTCACAAGCAGTGACCGACCACCCGGCACCCACACTAATAGTTGCTACCGCTGACAGATGAAACAAGAGGCGAGCTAAAGCAAAAGATAGCGGCTGTATCACCGCTAGAGCTTGTCAGAATTATATGACTTAGCCTATGTAGGCTATACTGGGGTAGCACATATGGGATACAACACATTCCCATAGTCATTCCATTCCTCGTTTCTTATCATGGTATCGAGCAGGTTCCCTAGTGGGAACGCTTCCTAGGGCCCACCACGAATTGTTTTTTTTTTCCTGCCCGGAGCGCGCTTCGCTCTGTGTGCCCTCCCTACCGTCGCGCCCTCTCACGGCCCCTTCGCGTCGCCTTTAGCTGCCCCTCTCACGGCCCCTTACGCCGCCCTCTACGGCCCCTCCCGCCGCCCTTATGGCCCCTTACGGCCCCTCGCGACGCCCGTTGGCCCCCTCGCGCTGCCCTTACGGCCCCTTACGGCCCCTCGCGCTGCCCTTACGGCCCCTTACGGCCCCTCGCACCGCCTGTCGGCCCTTAGCGGCCCCTTACGGCCCCTCACGCCACCCTTACAGCCCTCGCGCGGCCCCTTTCCGGCCCCTCGCAGCGCCCTTACGGCCCCTTACGGCCCCGTCGCCGCCTCGTCTAGGCCCCTCTGCGGCCCCGTCGAGGCCCCGTGCGGCCCCTCTGCGGCCCCGTCTAGGCCCCTTGTGGCCCCTCTGCGGCCCCGTCACCGCCACCTTCGGCCCCGTCGCCACCACCTGCGGCCCCGTCGCCGTCACCTGCGGCCCCGTCGCCCTCCCCTAGCGGCCACGTCGCCGCCTCTACTGGCCCCGTCACCGCTCCGCCGCACAGCGACCGAGCCGCCGAGCAGCCCAGCAACCAAGCCGCCCGCCAGCCGAGCCGCCGAGCCGCCGAGCCGCCCAGCAGCCGAGCCGCCGAGCAACTGAGCCGCCGAGCCGCCGAACCGCCTCGCAGCCAAGCCGCCCAGTAGCCGAGCCGCCCTGCCGCCGACCCGCACTACTGTCGAGCCGCTGCTGTTCCTACCGGAGCGCCCCGGCCCCACTTACCGACCGCTGAGCGTGCGCACTTTAGCCAGTACAAGAGTGCTAAGACCTTGTACGACGCTGTAGTTGCACGCCACGCCTCCCCTGCCACTACTGCTCTTAGCCGCCTCATGCTGCCGTACCTGTTCCCTGACCTTACTGCCTTTCCCACAGTCGCTGACCTTATTACTCACCTTCGCACTAGTGACATTCGCTACCGCGCTGCGCTTCCTGCTGAGTTCTGCCCTAAGAACCCCCCCCCCCCCCATGTACATCACCCTCTACTACATAGTCACCCGCCTCCCTGACTCCCTTCGCTTAGTTAGGGACCACTTCCTCTCAGTTTGCCCCACCACACTCATCGTCGACCTCCTCGAGGAGTGCCTCCTAGCAGCAGAGAAGAGCATAGTCGCTGTAGGAGCCTCTTGTGGTGACCCTCGCACCCCCGTCCTTGAGGGGTGTTCCCCATCCCCCCTCTTGCCCTCTGTTGCTTCTGCTATTGCGGCCGACCTCGTTGGTTTCGAGTCGGTCGGTGCTGCGTCTGCCCCGAGCGGGAGACGCCGCACCGACAAGGGCAAGGGGGGCAAGGGCGCTTGGGGGGCTGGCGGGGGCGGTGGAGGTGGTGGTGGAGGAAGTGGAGGGGGTGGGGGTGGTGGTGGGAGTGGTGGTAGGAGTGGAGGTGTCGGTGGCAGCAATGGAGGCGGTGGAGGCGGCGGCGGTGGCGGAGGGAGCGGAGGCGCCAGAGGTGGTGGAGGCGGCGGAGGTGGCGGAGGCGGCGGAGGTGGCAGAGGGGGCGACGGCAGCAGTGGACCTGGCCGCAGCTCTGCGCAGAGGAGTGGCTACGGTGGTGGTCCGCGCCAGCAGCAGTAGGGCACTTGTGAGACCCTGTCCCCTCAGCAGCTTCATGAGTGGTACGCTGCGCGTCAGCGTGGTGGGGGTACTGATCCCTGCACCTACTTTCTCCGTACTGACGACCGCGCTGGTGAGCAGTGCGGGGGCCCGCACTCCACCCAGGGCTGCTTCGGCTGCCTGACGGATGCGTGGCATCACCAGTTCCCTGAGGCCTCTGAGATCCCTCGCTGGGGAGAGCTGTCTAGGGCGAGGGTTGCTATCTTTGATCGTGATTTTGATGCTATTCTTGCTGCCATGTATGCTGTGTCTGATAGTGTTGAGGGTGACTATTACCTGTGTGTTCCGCCTCACCCGTGCATTGAGACTGCTGCTTTAGGTACTGGTGAGGCTGCTACTCTAGGTGCTAATGCGTCTGCTGCCCCAGATGCTGGTGCGTCTGCTCTCTCAGGTACTACGTCGGCTCAAGCCTTACACACCTTCACCCTTGACTCGGGTGCTTCCCCCTCCTTCTTTCGAGACCGCACCACGCTTACGCCGCTTAGTCGGCCGGTTACGGTCTCCCTGGCGGACCCCTCTGGGGGCCCTGTCCTTGCTCGCTTCTCCACTGTCTTACCGTGTCCGGCAGCCCCCTCTGGCACCCTGTCAAGTCTCTACCTCCCCTCGTTCTCTACGAACTTGGTGAGTGGAGCTGATTTACAGGATAGGGGGGTTGACTAGTTCACTCCTGCGAGTCAGCGGGTGACCCACTGCACGTGTGCTCGGACAGGCCGACACTTGGCCACGTTCACCCGTTGGCCGGGGTCGAGCTTGTACACCCTCACAACTGAGTCTCCTCCGGTTGCTGAGTCTGGTCAGGTAGGTGCGTTGAGTCAGGTGTTTGCTGCAGCGTCCAGGTCTAGTCCTGAGTCTGCTCCCTGCTCGTGTCGTCACCTGTCTCACCAGACTCTCCTTTGGCACCACCGCCTTGGTCACCCCTCCCTGCCTCGTCTCCGAGGCATGGCCTCCCGTGTCCTTGTCTCTGGTCTCCCCCGGTCTCTCCCTCCCCTACCTCCGGGGCCTGCCCCTACCTGCGTCCCCTGCGTCGAGGGGCGACAGCGCGCCGCCCATCACTCCTCCGAGTTTCCTCCGACAGAGGCTCCGTTGCAGACTCTTTACATGGACGTGTGGGGCCCCGCCCGCGTCCGTGGCCAGGGGCACGAGCGTTACTTCCTGTTGGTGGTTGACGACTACTCGCGTTACACCACGGTCTTCCCCTTGCGCAGCAAGGGCGACGTCGCCGAGGTGTTGATCGACTGGATCCGCGCAGCTCGTCTCCAGCTCAGAGAGAGTTTCGGCTCGGACTTTCCTGTTCTTAGTCTGCACTCTGACAGAGGCGGGGAGTTTTCCTGTGCCCGTCTGGGACCCTTCTGTCGAGCATAGGGCATCCGCTAGACCTTCACGCTTCCGGCCTCTCCACAGCAAAATGGGATTGCTGAGCGCCGCATTGGCATGGTCATGGACGTTGCTCGTATGTCCATGGTCCATGCGGCTGCCCCCCCATTTTCTGTGGCCGTTTGCGGTTCAGTACGCCGCGCATCAGCTCAACCTTCAGCCCCGGGTCTCCTTACCAGAGACCTCCCCCACCCTGCGGTGGACGGGGAAGGTTGGCAATGCGTCTGCGTTTCGGGTCTGGGGATCTCGGGCGTTTGTCCGCGACTTGTCTGCGGACAAGCTGTCCCCCCGTGCTGTTCCTTGCGTCTTCCTTGGCTTCCCCCCTGATGCGCCTGGTTGGCAGTTTTACCACCCCACCTCGCGCCGTGTTCTGTCCTCCCAGGACGTCACCTTTGACGAGTTGGTGCCTTACTACCGTCTCTTCCCCTACCGCGCTGCGCCCCTTCCCCCACCGCGCTCTTCCTTGTGCCAGGTCCTCCCCCGGTAGACCCCCTCCCCCCTCAGGGTCCTGCCCCGTCAGGTGTGTCCCAGGTAGACGCATTCGAGCCTGTCGAGGTAGCTGTGGACTCTGGTGTTGCTAGATGTGCTAAGCCTGGGGGTGCTGAGTCTGGGGGTGCTGAGCTTGGGGGTGTTGAGTCTTGGAGTGCTGAGCCTGGGGGTGCTGAGTCCGGAGGTGCTGAGCCTCGGGGTGTTGAGTCTCGGGGTGCGGATCCTGGGGGTGAGGAGCGTGGGGGTGCGGAGCGTGGGGGCGCCGGGTCTGCTCGTGTGGCCGCCGGCGGTGCTTCGTCGAGGCGGGAGCCACTCTCTCCACAGGAGCTGCGCGAGTGGTTTGCCCGGCGCTGGTGTGGGAGGTACTTCTGTTGCTGCTGGTCCCGGAGGTGCTTGTCCTGACGGTACTGGAGCTACCGGTCCTGCTGGAGTTGGTGCTGCTAGGGCTGCTGGAGCTGGAGCTGCTGGGGGTGTTGGCGCTGGTGTTTCTGCTGGCGCTGGTGTGTCTGAGGGTGCTGGAGTTGGC